TGAACTCGGGCAATGCCTTCCCCAGCCTTCTGGGCTCCGCCTAAGATGCCAACCGCTCAGCTTGCAGCACCAGGGCCTTTGAACCTGGCTCCTCTCCTAGCCATGGGACCACCGAGCAGCGGCTCCCAGAAACTCCCTGAGCCTCCTCTGTCAAACAGGATTGGCCCTGCTTTCCCCTTCGGCCTGTCAAAGGGTCCCTCAGGATCCCAGGAGGGACCACCTGACATACCAGGACAAGGGGTCAGCCAAGCAGGGGTTCTGAGGCAGAGACCTCAACTCTGGATGAGGAGGGAAGGGTCAGGATGAACCAAAGGAGAGGCCCAAAGAATAAAAAATGAAGCGGGTGGAACCCAGGATGGGGAGAAACCAGCCAGGATGCGGCATGGAAGAGTAAGTTCGCAGCAAGAACTCACTGGGAGAGGTTATGGATTTGTTCAGGGTCACAAGCTCAGCTCTGCCTGGCACCTGTGCACAGCCCTCCAACTCCTCAGGCTTCCACAAGTCCCTGTGCTCAGGACCTGCTTCCTCAGTCTGCTGGTGCAAGCTAGGCATCTGCTGAGTGCTGGCTGAGGGCCGGTGCTACCGTTTTTAGCTGCAAACACCGGCTCCCTGGGACCTGTGGGACATTTTATTTTCTTACCGTGCCGGAAGAGTGCTTGACCACCTGTGTCCCTCCTTTCTCCCTGTGGATTCTCCTCCACACCAGCTTCCTCTCTTACAAGGCCTCAGCACCAAACACCAACATACAACCCTCTAGTCATGGGCCAGAGCTCACCCACGTGGCTCTAAGTCTCTAGAGACCCAGTGAGGCTCAGCCTGGATGTCTACCCAGGCCTTACTCACCTAGGCCTCTCCTGGCTTTCCACTTCCTATTTTAATTTCCATGTGTCAACCTGACCAGACCTAGATTTTAGTAAAGGAGGGTATCTCCAGGAAGGACTAACGAAGGGCCAGCACTGATGTGGACAGCACCACTGGCCAGAGGTCTGGATCAAATTAAGGAAGGAAAAAAAGAGAGAAAGTCTGTCAATTGATTCTCTTTCTAGGTGTCCGCTGTGATGTGAGACCTCCCCACCACCATGGATTGAAACCCTCAAAACCATGAGCCAATAAATCCTTCCTCCAAGTTGATTCTCTAAGGCTTTCTGTCACAGTGAGAAGTCTGACTAACCCTTCATGCACACCTGCCAGGATTGACAGAAACAACTTGTCCCAGAGCCCATGCAGGCTTACAGGGACCCAAGTCCTGCCAAGGCTCCACACTGGCTGAGTGAGTGGCTGGAGCAGGCTGCCTAGCCTCTTGGAATGTGAGTATTCTCACATGTAAAATGCGTGCAAAGGCTGACCTCACTGAGTCATCAAAGGAGATACGACGTGTGAACAAAGTGACACAAACCCGAATATAAAGACTCCTAAGTAAAGGACAAGTCGTGTAAAGAGATAGGAGTCCAGGAGTCCGTGCATTTAGGAAAGGAACGAGACCAGCTTGTCTGGACAAGGGACGCCTGGCGGGATCAGGTCACTTAGCAATCACAGAAGAGATGACGGCCAAGGATGACATGATAGAGGTTGAAGGGTAGAGGCTGATGACAAGTGTTGAAGGACTAAAACTCTTAGGAAAGTTAATGAGGCCCAAGAAGATATCTGAAGAAGTGCTCTAATTTAGTTATAAAAACTGTGTGGATGCCAGGCGTGGTGGCCCATGCCTTTAGGTTGATCCCAGCACTTGGGAGGCAGAGGCAGGCGGATCTCTGTGAGTTCAAGGCTAGCCTGGTCTACATAGTGAGTTCCAGGACAGTTGGGGCTACAG